CAGGACTGAAGAATTTTCATTTTATGTAATAAATGTTCGTTAGTGCTGTGAGATTACCTATCTCTTGGCAAACATTTGCGTACCACTATTTCGTGTGTACAGTAATATAAGCCGCCCAGTATTCATTAACAGGAATTGTGAAAAGCCTTGAGATAGCTCAAGAGATACAATTACAAAAGCTTCGTTAAAACTATAATCATTTTTTTATACTTGTCTCAATTTTTGAGAGATGTCACAGGGTTCTTTAAATTTTCCAAGGTAATGTATAAAAATAATATTTTTTCAATCAGCGTTTTCAAGTATGGTTACTCATTTACACACTGGTCTACAAGCTGGTCTACATTAACTTGTCATTGTAACATACTTTTCATCGTACTTTTAATGTGTTGAACCAGTACTTTTATCCTATTGTTCGTCGCGTGTATTTCCAACCAATTAACGTGTTGTAGGATTATGCTAATTTCCATTCTACCGTGTTCAAAATACACACGGATAGAGAACACTTTATTTATTCTTTTCTTTAAGGTAAATTGCCCTAATAATTCCGGTAGATTTACTTTTCATATTCGCGAATGTATTTCGTTGTGTTTAGAAATTAAAATTCTTCGATTGAAATTTTCGAATCCATCTAAAATATGCACAACAAATCGTGATTGTTTCAATTACTAGAATTATACCTTATCCTTTCTAAATTTTCGTATTACGTACTACTATTTTTCTTTCTTTTGTGAAAATTTCATTTTCGTTGAAACAACAAATTTTAATGATTTTTCTCACAATTGTGACCGTACAGACATTCTTAATTACAATGATTATAAATAAGATTTCATAGCATTCATAAAATTGTTAAATCGCTCTCTCTCTCTCTCTCTCTCTCTCTCTCTCTCTCTCTCTCTCTCTCTCTCTCTTGTATGAACGTCAAAAAAAAAAATAAAGATCTCACATCACGAATGAACAGTTGTGAAATTTATCAAAGGGAAATTTTCAAAAAGAAAACATATCCATATGAATCGTTATGTATACACTTTATTTATTGCTTAATTATATTGATTACTACGTACGCCGTTACAAAAGGAAAATTTATATTTGTCGTAATTTCGTTTATTTATTAATAACTACATTTGAAAAGAAATCGATACAATTGTGTTCCAATATTCAATTTTTTCCATGATTCTGTGTTCTAAATGAAAATGCGTGCTAGAATCTTTCGAGTCACTCTAGCTGCTCGGTAAAATAGTACTTCGAACACTATCGAATCATGCATATCTCAAGAAATGTATTTTACTTAATTTTTCGCACATCGAAATAAATCATGCGTCATCTCGAAATGAAATCTCATCGAATCAGCATTTTCTATCGATTTATCGGAAAGTAGACTTCCCGATACGTATTCCCAACGTAACATTCGAAATACTGTTTTACCCAGGCCTAGTACGTTTAAACAAGGAATCTGTAATTTATTGTGTACGCTTGTATAATGCGAGAGTATGCACACGCATATACGCGATTAATAACCAGACGCACGTTCTCGTCATAATTGAGCTTATTGTCAGACGATGGCACTAAAGTATATCTCGTCCACTTTGAACGTCAGAAATCAACCTGTGTATTTACAATTTAGATGATACGATACAGTAGCGAATCGACGAATGATTGCAGCGAATTACGAGGATTAAGGTTATCGGTGTTCTTGACCGAAATGCTTATTTCCTTGGCGCGTTGACATTATTTAATTAAGGAGAGGAGGCCATGAATAAGACGAGCAATTTTTTAGATACAATTTCGGTTTATAATTCGAGTTGCAAGTAGTACATTGAACGAATTGAGGATAGAAAATTGTTTATCTTTTATTCGTCGTACGTTTTATTCATATGTGTCGTGGTATACCATGTCGGGTTATTAGACACAGTCCTCATTAGGATAACCTTCTTTGTTTGAACTCTTGGTTGCTTTGCAGAAGTGTCGAGGACAGTAAACGAAGGGGTTATGTCTGTCTTGATTTGTAGTCAGGAGGCAATCGGTATTGTTCATCTTGAATGCAGCATGGATAAGGGAGTATACCACGACAAATAATTTGATAACAATGTTTTATTTGAACAGTTAATCAGAAGTTTAGAAATATTTGGTTATTCGTGTCTATTGTATAATGAACTCAGTTCTGTTAAAAAAGCGTTCGTCCAAACTGTTGCCCCCTTGCAACATGATTAAACGTGAAACAATACTTGAAACGATTCGATAGGAAATGTATTGTTTTCTGTTTGTTGCAAGTTGATGACCCGGAATTTCGAGGAGTTAGTTACGCCACGAATAAAGGCGACTGCTTTCAAGTCCGTTTTAAGATGAACTTCATGACGCAATAAGTATTAAATAAAAAGGAATATAAGTGAGCGTATTAATTTCATGTTTTCTCGCGTAGAAAGTTCTTTCAGGCACGTTAATGTTACCCATTAAGAAGCTCGTTCTCTCGATGTGTTTGTTAATAGGCGTTGAGAACAGAAACGAAACATGTTCGGTAGGTTTTTATCAAGAGACGAAGTAAGTATTCGTATCTGCTTGTTTAACATCGCGTAACGTTACAAAACTGTATTTCTACATTCAAAGTAATAACGTAATTGTGATGAAAACACTGTGATCAGTGATATTAGGTCTATTCTCCGCTGATTTGCAAATGTAACAAAACGAAATACGGACGTAACAAACGTATCTGTGCACGCACACGCATTACAATGGATTTTCAAACGAAACAACAACAACAAAAATCAAATATTTTTAACTATTACGTGTCGGTGGAGATCATTTAAGTTCGATGCGAAGTTGAGGAAAAACGGAAGGAAAGAATGTAAAAAAAAGACGTGTAGGTCGTATAGAAGTAACGTGGGAGGGAAGCATTTACATTTAGTTTTAATTATTACCAAACGACAAAATGCCTTTGTCTTACGAAACGCGTTTCGATAATCTCCATATTTATAAATAAAGCGAAAAATACACACACGATAGGACGCTTGAGCTTTCGAGTAATTCGATTCGGAGGTGGTTAAGACTGTATAAAAAAAATACATTTGGGGTGTACTATGATACTTTTAACATTTTATCAGCCTTCCGAAAGTATCGGAACTATTTCGCCAGATTTGTATCTCCAGCATGTGTTTACATTTATGTATTCATTTATATACTTAAGGTGTATAGTTTTTGATCGATGATAAATAAACTCTTTTCATTTTAAACTTCTATTGCGTTCCTTATTATATACGACCATATCTAAACCCTTAGAGTACTTCGGCAAACCGTCCAAAATTTCAATTCGGGCCTTTCCCCACTGCTATCGCCCATTGACTGTAACACTGACTGACACATTTCTCTTCAATTTCCCTTCAATTTCCTCTCCATTTTCCGAGACAAAATAAAGAATTGTGCCACCTCTTCGACCGAAAATGTGTCCCTTGAATTAGGCAACCTATACTTACAGATATGTCGGGCCGGTTGCGTGCCCGTAGGCGCAATCGTGCCACCTCTTCGCGTATCATATGCTCCTGATACCAAAATCCAAAATCAGCCAGAATTCCTTTACGTACAGAAAAATGTGTCCCTTGAATTAGGCAACCTATGCTTACA